GTAGTATCACTAGCTAATATCATGCACATGTGCAACAAACCTTTAAGTTTAAGCCTTTAACGCAAAAGGCTGTATTTAAGGCTTTCTAGACACTGGAGTAAAAATATAAACCATCAACTTTGTTTTCATTTTGTCAAGTGTTCACCCAACATATGGTAATACTTAGGAGATATTCATCTCTGCTATGATTAGCGTTTTTATTTTGTTTTACTTTGCAAACAGTTATCTTTTTAGTGCTGCAGCTAAAATTACCCGCCACTCACTTTAAAACTTTCCATCACCTCCTCCTCAAACTCCTCCATACAAACACTAGACGGAACCTGAGCCAAATGAGTCAAAGAAGGGGTCGGCATTTATATAGCATCGGTATTGTCTTTGGCCACTGCTCTGTAACCTTTTTGGGGCAGTTGAACATGGAATAGTTGAGTTAATGGTGCTTAAGATGGATCCTCTCGGTATGTGTGTGTGTGTGTGTGTGTGTGCATGGGAAAGACATAAAGAGAGAGTTTAATGGGACACATCTGCATGTTCGAGAGCATTATCTCGAGTGTGTGTGTGTGTGATTTTCGAAGGCGTTACCTGCGTCTCGACGTTAGTTAGCTTGCGCGTCTGTTCGGCCGTCTGAGAAAGGAGGTTGGTGCCCATTTCCAACATGGCTGCTGTGTGGTTGTGGACGGCAGTCTGCTGCAGCTGAGCCATCTCTGTCTTCATGCTCTCTTTGATGTAGTTCTCAATCTGCACCCAAAAAAAAGAAAAAGAAAAAAGGTTGCATTGGAGATCAGAGACATGCAGAAGAGAACAGAACACAGTATACGTATAGGTTTGCCTCATTGATGTTAATGCTGGAATATTTAAAAAAAATAGAATCATGGAACCTTAATGGCTCGATTTTAGCTTCAGATCAATGTCGAGACATTGTAACTCAGATGCCACATTAGCCTCTGATGCACAGCTGATATAACCGTTCCCACTGGCCTGTTAATGAGGCACTAGACTGAACTGATCTTCAACCCTGTGTCTGTGATCACAGCGCAGTACAATGGTAAAAAGGTGGTTTACACTGGTTCACTGACATCAGGCAGTTTTCAACTTTAAGAAATAAATGAGCTGGCTACACCGATGTTTTTGAGGCATTGTTCTTGTCCCCACTTGTTCTCTTACACATTCACACTAATAGCACGTTTTAAGGAGGCCTTATAATGTACCTCAATCAAGATACAAAATTCTTTGACTAGATTTTTAATACTGGGGAAAAAAGGGTTTCTTATGTTGCCTACATCTGAAGAAATGGACAATTTTGATTGGCTCTCAAGTGAAGAATGGGTTTAGTCATGTGGGCACAGCCAGATGTAGGTGGTTAGCTTTGGATGGAAGAGGCAGAGATGAACAGATATCCACTGAAGCGCATCTGTGAAGAACTCTTTCATCCTTATCCCCAAACGCAAACAAATGACCAAACAAAGATGGAGGTTTGTGTTGGATACGATTCTTCATATGGATTAACTATGTTGACCGTCTGTGTACTGTGCTCGGATTATTTATATAATTTGCCTCCCAGGGAATCGTTGATTTACTTTCCTTTCCTTTACTGAGACTCAAAAATGATGCTATTTTTTTCCCGTAATGAGGTTGATTCATCGAAGGTATCATCCAATCCCGTTGTGCGGAACTGGTTGAATTGTGAGTGATTTGTAGGAGTATGGTTACTGACATTCGTTTGTTTTATAAATAACTCTTGACTTGATTGGATTTTAAGTGTCCACACACAGTCTGAGGTGATTCAATAATCGGCCAGTGGGGGAGATTTTCAGTTTTTCTTTGGCTCATCTATGGTGTGTAACAGCCATGTTTCAGGAATGCATCAGCCAAGACAAATCAGAGTCAAACAGCACAACATCGCATGTGTTGGTGTCCTTAGCAACGGTCCCCGTCCTGTACTGTAACTGTGGGCCAAATTTAACTGCTGGAGGAAAATGCTTTGTTGGGAATAAAAATACACTTCCGCAAAAAGCAGTCGGTGACAGCACATGTCTTAATGAATCTCTGTAGGTTCACGTCAATGCTCTTATGATAGTCCTGAGGCCCGGGGATATGGCCTGTGTTTCTAGTAAAACATTCACCAGCAGAAAAAGTAGCCATTTCCCTGCTTTTATAGGGAATTGATGGATTGCAACATTTCGATCAACCCTAGGCTGATCGATAATGAAACGATAGATCTCTCTGCTCTTCTACAGACACAGGCAGCTCTCAGTCATCTGCACAGGTCCGCCAAGTGAAATTAGCTTTTCAGTGTATTATCCTCTCTTGGCAACAATACTAAAGTGATATGTAACCTTTCTTCGGGCCGGATTTCAGGCATAACACCGCTTCCCCTAACTGCGAACTACAAACGGCTGATATAAGTGTCACTTTCCACATAACCTCCAATAGTCTGGCCTGAGGAATTGGAAAGAAAACAGAGGGACCTGGAATCCCCATAGCTCAGGTAATGATGGATTACTCTGCCTGATAATAAACCAGAGAATATGACTGTTTTTGGAAATGTTTTTTAGTCCATATAGAAGTGTAAAATCTCTGAACTCTGTGGATGCGTAGTTTGTTACATCCTTTAAGGCCACGGTTTAATAAACCTCCCTGCTTCATACATCTTACAGCAGCAGCTTTGCACTGCAGTTAACACAGTGTAAGTCACCTTGATAGAAAAGGTACCGAAGGGACAAACGGCAGACAGAAAACTAAAGCCCAGCAATCACCTCATGGTCTGTGTTGTAGGGAATGTGGCTTACTCATGGCTGGATCTGGAGGGGGTCATAAATGGAAAGTACCAAGGAGAAACAAGATTACGCAAACAAGCCCAATCATGTAAAATCAGCACTCGGGAAGCCGTAAAATGGGTCTTTGTGGGTGTGGGGCTATTTCAATGGTTTCGATGGCTCCAGTTAAATGCTGCTCTTTTCCAGTCACTGACTACCAAAAGTAACAAATGTTGAAATACATTTGAGTGAAGGATGAGAATGCAAAGGTTGTGGTGCTTTATTTTCTACGAAGACATGAGGTTACTATGCAAATGACATATTTATTTCCAGTATATATTGTAACTAAACCATTTATAGTTTACCTGAAACCGGAACCAATTTAGGCTCATTTCAGTTCATGGTGCATTTTCATTAAGAGATAGAGTCAAAAAGTCAATGAAATAACAAAACCAAGTGGGAATTTTGTCCGATACTCGTAAAGTTTTCTCACGAATGGGAATTTGACGAGAAACAGGTGTCAGAGCAGAAAACGTGGCTTAAAATGTTTATGGATTGGTAAGCCTCAGGGTTAAAAAAAAAAAAAAAAAAAAAGGGTCACCTTTAACTTTACAGTCAGGTGTAAGCATCTAAGCATGATGAAGAAGCCACTGTGGCCACAAGTGAAAATTCTGGCGTAATCCTAAATACGCACCGTAACAGTGGAGAGAAGTCAGTAAATTCACTGATTGATGGTGGTCGAACAGAAATATTTACCTAAAGTTTGCCAAGATTAGCCACCATAAGCCGATGGGTCATACCAGACCAAATAAGGTTGTAGCTGCAAAACCAGAGTGTACTAAAGACAGGAATGTTTTGTTTTGTTGCTTCCAAATTAAGCTTTTCATTTGTTTAAGAAAGAATGTGTTATTTCTTCATTCAAAAGTTACAGCCTCCCTTTGAAATTTGCAATTTTTAAAGTTGTAACTTTTGTCAATTCCCTTCTGTGCGAGAACATTTCCCACTTTGGAAAGAAAGATCAAATGAAACTCCACTTGAATCAAATATTTTTTTTTGTGTGTGTGATTTATAGGGGACATTCCAGAAGGTGCAATAATACCAGGCTCTGCTTTTAGAAACTACTAAATCTAGCCTCTGGTTTCCCAAAATCACTGTTTGCTAAGTGAGAGTCGCATAAACACACGTTTATGTTTCCCTGAGTGCTACTTAACACGGAGGCATAAAGGTTTAAAGGTGGTGTGTTTGGCACAGGCTGGCTTCGTGTGAACTGCCTGTGACATGACCAACGACGCTGCCTGCCATCACAACCACGGCGATCCATTAGTACCTTAACTGCACCCTCACGATGCAGCGTACTGCATGTACAGACGGGTCCCTTTAGACAGTTTATGAGGTACAACTGGCTTTTAATCACTAAACGAGCTGCTTTGGGCTGTCTACAACATAAAGGACAAGCTGGATAGCATAAAGCGTGTACCAGCAGCAGGATGCCTTTTGATTTTAAGAGCAAAGGGACTGTTCATTGTACGGAGGGACAACTGTTCACAGGAAGCAAAAAAAAAAGGCACAGGGCTAACATCCCCGACATCTTCTGCACATCATCACGGTGCAGCTGCTAAATTGCCATCTCTTGAGAGGCAAGAACAGGATTATCCTTCAAGATGATACTCCCTGCTATAATTTTTACAGATTACTGCAAATGTTTACCACTTTTCTGACATTTCCCATTTAGCCATTCTGAAAGGGGGTCTTGATCTCTTTCTAAACAGCAGCAGCGGTGGAGCTGAGAGACTGTGAGAGTCAGAAAACTGTGGGTCTGGACTGTATAAAACACTTACTGCTGTAGCTCTGTCACATCTCTGCTTATCTCTTGTCTGGGGTGTCGGGTGGAGGTGGGGGGGGCGTGACGGTGTTACTGGGGCTCTGGGATGCATCCTTTACGCTCAGGCCTGAATCCACTTCAAACCACTTTAATGGACTAGAGCTGGGGGGGCGTCACCCGCTGCCACCCACCCTCGAAATCAGCACCTCCTGGGGTAAAGCAAGCCACCTTGGACTGAACGGCAGGGGATTCACTCGCGCCTTCTTATCGCCCACTGACAATGAAGGGTGAATTTGACACCCCCTCTTTGAGACCTGGGCCTATAATTCACCCTGGTGGGGCTTTAGGAGGTGTTACCCTGACTCTCTGCCCTGTCACTCTCCAGAATACAGATACGGGCAACCTCTGCGCGCAGCTCAGAAAGCTGTCGTACTAAGTCACGGGCCTGTTTGTTTTTTTAATCCACCATGAAAAAGTTTTAAGACTCTCTGTCTTAAACTCTGTCAAGATCAGGTGAGTAACAACTCAGGATGAACTCCCAGTTGACCTCTGTCACCTTCGCCCTGGTGGTCAACATCCAGGCATTTACTCAATTGCTGCCATATTTATCTTCCTCTTATAGAATGTTGAGAGAGAAATAGAGAGAGTTGCAGGAAGACAGATGAAAATATAACAAACAAACAGATGTGATTTATGCCTTAGTGGACAAGATTGCAGCTCATACTTGACTATGAAATGGGAGGTTTGATCAACTGTCCTTTTGCTTATAACATCTCCCCAAAATTACAGTTCTCCAATCACAGCTTAGCTATCTTTACGAGGCACTCCAGGCCTGACATGCTAAGAAAAGGATCCCTCAATATAATGAAGCCCTTTGCAAAAGTTTGAAGGGCCTTATTTTAGCCTTTCCAAAACCCAAAAGAGCATGTGTTTATCTGGTCTAACGTAAGCTGCAATTGTTAGCATAAAGCTAACTAGCTTACCATCTCCAGCAATCAAGCGTCGCTTTCAGGGTCAATGTGTACGTCGTAACTAAACAACAACATTAACTGAACATTAGTTTGTGAGGTTACAGGTTATGCTAAACAAAGCCCCATTCACGACTACAACATTCACTATGAAATATTTGTGTTATAATATGTCTATTACGCTAACATTAG